AAGGGACTAACTGCCTGAACTCACGGACTACCAGCCTCCTTCATGGAGAGCTGCAAAGGCTCTGCCCTGGGTGGAGGACGGAGCCACCTGCCTGGTCAGGTACCTGCTCCCTGCAACCGCTGTACCTCAACATCTAAATCCTCTTAGAAACACCCCCGACATTTGTGCTCTGAGCTCACTTATGACACAAAATACATTTTAGCAGAAAACATTTTTCTAATCACTTTCCTCAGAGAAATATTTCCTGAGTATCCTCCCACCAATTACATTCCCTCTGTGGTTTTTTTTTTTCCTTCTTTGTTCAGGAAATGTAAAAATGGGTTGTTAGCACTTTATGGGATAGTATAATTATAAACAATTGTACATATGATTCATGTCCTCATGGGGTACAGCCACTATTAAATCTATTTTTGTTGTTGTTGAGCTAGACATATATAAAGGTAGGATACTGGATTTCTAAATTAATTATACAGGCAAGAGGTCTAGTCCCAAGCTGAATGGAAGCTTTGGACTGCATACATTCAGGTGGTTTAATTTACTTAATTCTATCCAAATACCTGATTAACTTACTCTAACATTACTGTAATTTCCAGGCATTGGAAAACAGACATTTTATTTACCACTTCCCATTTGGATACTAGGTTTGTAGGAAGCCTATTGTGTAACTTCCCTGGCAACTGAATCACCAACACTTGTCATCTACCTACCTCCTTGAAGCAAGGCTCCTCGACTTTCATGTATGGAATGCAACAGACAGAAGTTTAACTAAATTCTTTCTTTCCTTTTCAAAGCTCCAGGCACCTTGGAAGTTGTGACTCTCCTTAGCCACATCCTACAAGCTCCCCTTTCTCTGAAGCACTCTTGAAATTGTTCAAAGGAAAAAGAGAAGGGATCTTAACGGTACTGAAAGATATTTTACAGCAGATGCACCAGTAATCAATACCAGCGGGGTTCTTCCTTCCCCAGAGGCAGCCAGCTTGACAGCAGGAGTTACCTGAAGTAAATTTAAAATGCTAGGACCACTGCACCTTGCCCATGTGTTCTGAGGCTGTGCAAAAGAAACTGGTATTCAGTCTCTTTGGGCAGCCTTCCTCTTGCTTCAGTTTCTTCAGTAACATCTAATAAACCTGCAAGAAGGGACACTAGGGCACATCTCGTATCCTCTGCATTTTATTAAAGGAGCCAACATTCAACACTCCCAAGTTTCAATGGAGAATCTTTGGCTTCAGATCAAATACAAGCTCTTCTGTCTTAAAAGGCACAATTTCTCAACTAAATGAACCTAACTGACTCCATACTCAAAATAAGTGCCAGAGCTGAGAGAACAGAGGCAATCACCTTCATTTTCAGATATGAGTAGATCTACATAAGCCAAAAACATAGGAACAATACACAGCTGGTTATGGCAAATCATAGCAGACGTTGATCAAACCAGGTCATAAATAATTCTGTCTGTGCTGTGGAAAGATTGAAAAAAAAGAATTTAAAAATAATCAGCCTTTCTTTGTACTCAGTAATCTGGAAAAAAATGCTCCAATTAACATGCAGTTACTCCTGATTTTGTAATATAATTGAAATTTCAATATGACCTACAGGTTTCATAGATTTTACAAGTCCTAATAGCAGAAAAAGGAGAGAGGAAATCAAGAAGGTAGAGATAAGCTCTAGCAAGCACTAAATGGATATGCTGATTCCCTAGCTTTCCATAAATTAATAGGTCTAGTCTAGTGTCATATTTTAAGGACAGCTGAATCAAACAGTAATTTTTCAGACCTAAAGTGTCATCACAATGCTTAACAACGGATAAGCTACAAAAAACCTACACTTTTCATGCCATTTCTATGCAGTGTGTACTAATTCTTGATCAGTACTACAGATCACACAGACTAATTAATGAGTGATTGCTATTGGATACGTATGTAGAATCTGATAGATAACAATATCTATTTGTGCTGTAAGTGGAAGAAGTATTTGAACAGATTAGCAAGAGTAGAGATACCCCTTGAACCACATTCTTTAGCCTAAATAGAATCAGAGGCTGCATATGCAAATACTTTTGCAATATCTGAATTTAACTCATACATAAAAATTCCAGTAAAACCAATTAATCTGGGTCTGATGCCCACCCTTGTGTACACATTTATACAAAAATACCTGTATTTGTAGGACAGCATGACAAGTATTAAAAACATTAAAAGCGTACCACATGTCCATACAGATAACCCAAAACTCAGATAATACTCTCTTAAAAAATACCAGTCCTGGTAAAAGGGATTCTTACGGAAGCCATGTCCTCATGCCACCTTCACTTTCAGGAAAATCAATCAAAACTGGATGCGAGATGCTGGGGCAGAAAGAGTAGGGAATGGGGGCCTGAAGCAGAGTGCTATGGAGAAAGGAGGAGACATAGGCTGTAGGTCCCAGAGACCTGGGGTAACGTATTTCCTGAGCACGTGCATAATCCTATTGTTGAGACACAAGCCTCATTCGTCTTCTCGTGGAGGTAACTAAAGGCTATGCATGTGAAAAGTAGTAATTATGAGCACATCGTGGCTGTCTCACAGTGAAACAGCCAGTGCACGTTGACAAGAGTCGCAGCCCTTTCACAGAGCCCCCACCTGCCGAGCCTGTGTTCAGCATCTGCACATAACTTTTGGTTTCTCTGTGTGCATTTGGCTCAAATCTGGGAAAATGTGTCACTGAATTCAACTGGATTAGGACCTTATTTACCGTGTTGGGTTAGGAAAAGCATCAGTATTGTCAGGTGAGCTTTTATTAAGTAATGGGTGTAATTTATAAAATCACAATCTCAAGTCCCAGCCAACAGAACGCTTTAAAATGTCTCTCCTCTATAGAAAACAGGATTTGCATACCTTGTTTGAATTCTTCTCTTACTTTTTTTGTTGGTTTGTATGGTCTTATTGTAGTGCACATAGTAGCCTCCATACATATATACCGTACCTATACTATACATATGTACTCCATATGTACTATAAATACTACGAAGCAAAGCCATACTTTGTGGCGACACTGGGACCCAAACAAGGTATCATTGCACATTAAAATTGTATTAAACTAATTGAAAAATAGTTAAACATTGCTAATAAAACCAGATAAATACTAAACATTAAAAGACAGAGACTTTCCAGTGTTCCATAAAACCACACCTTTCAGACAAATCAATTATTTGCATCGTAAAAAAATCACTAACTGCGAAAGAAAATATTTCAAAAGAAAGTAATGAGTAAAAAGCTTCAGGTGATTTTTGATTGCATTAAAAACAACTCTCATTTTTCATAACATATGCAGAACTTTGCATCTTAAATAGTAGAGTTATCTTCAAAAAATTACTTTGTTTTTAATCTTTCAAGAAATGAAACCTTAATTGGGTAGGAAAAGATTTGGAATATATCCAGCAAGAAACAAAACCTCCACTACTCTCATGTAAGTGGCACAGCATCTGTATAGAGTTAGCACATACCTTCAGGAAGATATCTCAAATTAAGTCAACATCATACTTGAATTCAGTAATCAGAGCTAATATTCTGCAACCCCAAACTGGCTGCCTTGTTTATTTCTTAATCTCAATTTCTATTGCTGTAATTCACCCTGGCACATAAATGGATGTATGAGGGGCTTGCCCTCTGAATACATAATAAAATTTAACTTGTCAGGAGCTTCCTTTGCTTTGAATGAAAAACATTTAATTTCTTTGTGATGCTGTTGAAGCTAAATCCTCTTGCAAGAGACTTAATGAGCAGCCCTGGAATAAAAACTAATGGTGTGTTCCAGCTACATGGCCACCTCACTGAACATTAGAATTACATCTGAGACCAGAGGGAAGAAAAGGGAGATGGACTATACAAAATATGTCTTCATTTGAGGAGTAAAGTTATTACCCAGTGGCATTATACATTGTTAATAAATTTTCTTTATCTGAAACTATAATTTAATATTTATGTATCTAATTTACATGTGACAAAGCAGCGTATTCTAAAATTAGAGTGTAACTAGCAAACTATTAACTACTATAAACAATACCGAAACACAACTCAAACATCTTTTAAGGAAACAATAGATACATTTTGGACTGAGGAAAGATTTCGATTGCAGATCTTTTTTTAAATACAGCTGTTAATTAGGTTGTGAAAAAAAAACCCCTTCAAGCTCAGGAGGATTTTCTGCTTAGGGATTCCTGGGTATCTACATAAAGACCAAGAGTACACTACCAAAAAACTCCCTTATTGGTTACTAGTAGGTACAGTAATAATAGTAAATGCTGAAATTGGGGAAAAAAATCATTTTCAATATCCATGTTATATGATGCACTAGACAATATATCCCCTTTGAGCAGAAACTAGAGAAAATATCGTGCCCTTTATTATCTCTGTGGTTTCTTATGTGTAATAGACAGTGAGAGAATTGCACTTATTGTAACATTACAGTAAAGTGTTAGATTGCAGCTCACCTTTTAAAATATTAGTGGCCATAATACTTATGATAGATTGTGCATTATGCAAAGATGAATAAAGATGTGCATTTAAATTAAAAAACGAGCAACCACTTACAGAACCAACAGTGAGGCTTAACATAACAAACATGCACTAACCCTACACTTATGCAAAACTAAGTTCTTCCAGGAAACTGTAACCAACTGTTGACCTTCCGCAAAGGTAAAGGTTTTGTCCCTTGGTAATATGTTTGGACTTTGTAGTCGAATTCCAGTTTATTAGCTCATTGTCTGTAAATGTGCTGTTCCACTGTGATATCCTTTAGCTGCCCTTGAGCTTCTGCAGAATCTGCAATCTTACAGTCACTTTTATTTAAGGTTTTATTGAGCTGCGAAGTAAGTCCCCTTCAGTACTACACAAATAGGCTTCCTTATTCATCCTCTTCAGGTTCCTGTGGTAAAATTGGTGTCTCCTCCTTTAAACAAGCACTAAAAAACCCAAGGATTGTGCTGTAAAGGTGATATTTGCTTTTCTCAGAAGCAATGTTATGACCTTCATCCGGGTAAATCTAGCAGAGGAGAAAAGAAAAAAAGTAAATAGTTTTTTAAAGGCTTTTCAAATATTTAGGGCTCTAATTTTCTTTCTCTGATCTTCACAGTGCTTTAGATGACAACAGGATGACAACATTAGTTTTATGGCATAAAGGAAAGCTAATAAAACTCAAAGTAAAACTCATTCTCTTGGATTTTGAACTTACATAAAACAACCACTGTAGTGGGATCTGCAGAAGTGAAAAAATTTATATTCTCAGACATTGTGCTTACAGCAGTTTACTTAGCTGGCATTTTCAATAGTGTCTAGGCATCCAAATCCCATTAACATCAAGCAGGATTAATTACCTCATGCTTTTAGGGACCTCTCAATACCTCAGTTTCTAAGCATTCAGCAAAAAAACCTTTTTATTCATATTTTTAACTATCTTCCTATCTTATCTAAAGGCCATCTTTCTCCTGGGTGGATGTAGGCATTTGTATCTCTTAATTTAAATTCCACTAGAAACTTCTCCCAAGTGGGGCTGAACAAACATTTACAGGCTGAATGAAGAAATCCAGGCCACAGGGTTTAGGACAAGAGACTTGTGGTGACCTGAGCCAAAAAGCTTCAGCTGCTTCCTCAAACTCAGGTTATCACAAGGTCGCAAGAGAGCGGGTCAATGGGGAAAAAATTCCTGCTTCTTCCTCTCTCAACAGACCTTCACCTCACCTCAGATGAGATTGCGGGGATAGCTAGAACAGATCCTACCCCGCTCATATTTCACACGCCAAGTCCTTTTCCCTTCACAAGTGATGCTAACCCCCTTGTTATCTCCTCCTCCCTGACATGAGCTCACACGCTTCAGCAGAATCTACAGGTTCACCTAAGGTTCAGTAAGGTCGAGGGGTGCAATGTGTAACATCAGAAATATTTGGAGCACTGACCCAAAAGCACATCATCTAAGATATTCAAGAAGGTTTTATGAGCTCAGGACCATCAGCCAGCAACACCCACATACTCTGGGGTGGGTCCCTTGCAAGTCTGTACATCAGCAGCATGGCTTGTCCTGCTCTCCCCAGTCTTTTCCCACAGCACCCTCATCCTCCCTACAGCTAGAGAGAGAGGACGCACTCTTGCCTTTTAGCTGCCTTTTAATAAAGTTAAATGTTGAAAATAAGGGGAAATTGGTTCCATGTGACTAAATACATTTTTAGGTCTAAAGAGATTATTATATCTCTGTATTACAAAGAATGCATATGGACTCTAAAGCACTTTGTAGAGTGTAATAGGGTAAACAGGTGGGAAAAAAAAGATGAGAGAGAGGAGAAAGAGCCCATACTAATGACAAGAAGATACGGTTCTTGGCATCCACAATAACACGAAGGGAAATGGGATTAAACAGAGGTCTCACTGCAAACAGGTAATACCAGGGTGTTGTGGTAGGGAGAGTCTTTCTCCATGAAGAAACAGCAATAAGAGGTTAAATGCTGAACTATGTTTACAGGGAATGCCACAGCTGCACATACCTGCATAGTGTAATTAACTCCAGCTTTTATTAGATGTTTGATTAGTTCTGCTGAATGCTGGAAGTGGACTTTAGCTGCAAGACAAGAACATTCGGATATTATTAGAAAAAGCTATGCTAATAAATAATTATCTGTTAAACAGCTTTGACTGAAAACATTGCCAGCCTCTGTAATTGCTTGATCTGAAGCTGGTCAGAAGCTCACAGCCCCACCAGTAACAGTGATGCTGAGTATAACAGCAGAGGTTTTGGAGAAGGAGCTGGAAACCCCAAGGAAGGCATGCTTTCACAGAATCACAGAATCTCCGGGCACTCCATGAGGACTCCTCTCTCTACCCTTGATTTACACACACTGTGATAGTTTACAGGTGTGTAAAGCCATTCTGTTTGAACATCATGACAGTTTATAATTGCATTAAAGGAAAGTATATTGGATTTTCTACTGCTTGCATGGGGTTATTACAGCCCACGCTTCTTCACGTAATGGACTTTCTGCAACATATCAGCACCGTAATCGTTGTGTGGTAGAAACAGGCAACTTTATTACCATGTCCTAACCCTGAAGAGCTCAGGCCGCAAGTAGGCTGGGCAGCGTTGCTAGACATGGTATTAAGCAAGGGCAGCAAGCAATCAGAGTCCTAGTCTTGAACACACTGTATTACTCAGATACCTGTCAGAGTCCCAATTCCCTCTAGCGCCAAGTTCAGAGGGGTAGAAATTGCCGCTGCCTTTTACAATCAGCCAAGCCTGAGATGCTCATGCCTGTTCAGTCACCTAGTATATCTTCTCTGGGCAGTGTTTTCACTCCTCTGATTGCACTTGAGATCCACAGCACGGGTTTGACAAGTTATGCCGAGGTGACAGGCTGGCAGGTTCCATCCTCACTGTGCCAGCTGTGCACACGGGCACTCTCACCTCAGCCCCTGTTGGTGCCAGGTACTTATCTCACTAGACTGAGCAGTAGCAAACCTTGTACTATCCCACTTTCACTAGGAAAATGCCAGGGAAAGAAGTATGGATGTGAATCTGTACGGAGAAGCTTGCTGCAGCACTGTAATTTGCGTCTGCATCAAAGCTTGTTCTTTAGACCTACACCAGTTAAGAAAGTTCAGAAAAAATATACTGCAGTTAAATTTAAATCTGTAATTACAAATTATCTCTTGATTGACACATCTTATAATTCCATTTAAAGTGCTAGAACTTCCTGGGTTTTATTCATTCTCTGTCTTAAACTGCTGCTAAAAGTATTGGCGCTATTAAAAGGTTCCCTATAGCTTAAGCTTCAGACACTTTGGCGCTACCTTGTAATTAATTAGCTGAAAAGTTTAACTTTCCATTTGCTGCTGTACTTCACCAGCTGTACTGGTAATTCTTTCTTCAATTGCAGAAACTCTATGAATTTAAAATACATGTACATTAAAAATGTATGTTCTTCTACTAATAATTCATATAATACCTGTCACTAGCAAGCCAGTGTCCTCAAGATTTAAACAAATTAGAACATAAGGTGCCTAAAAGGTACAAATACTCACCAAATAAAAGCATCATCAGTTTAGAGTTAGAAGTGACAACTGAAATAAAATAAAAAATCCTCCCAGAGGGATAATGAAACTAAAAAAGTACTTGCTAGGTGTGTGCCTAATCAGTTGTTGAATAGCTATTACAACCTCTGACTTCACAAGTAATTGCATCTGTTAATACTTACCATCAGCTGTCCCATGAATTATTAGCAAATTTGCTTCTTTTAAGCCATGAAGATTGTGTAATACGCTGGATGCCTAGTAAACAGACACACACAAAGGTGTAAGCGAATTGCATTTTAAGAGTAAAATGGTCATTTTAAGTTACTTGTTTATGCTAACTTGCCTGATAGGTATTTTCCTCTTTTGACGGAATACCGAGGTATCTTTCTGAAAAAGCTGATGCTGTGAAAGTGAAAATAAAAACTTGTGAATTATTCAAATTCACTTCTATTTTAAATCTCATCACTTCTGATATAGAGTCAGGAGAAGCTATTTAAGACATGAAGTCAACAAAGAGAATATACCATTTAAACGTACCATTTTAAACCATTTTCAAGTGGTTTTAAAAGGAAAAAAAGCCCCACAAAACACAAACAAAAATAAAAACAAAAAGCAGGCAGAGGAAAAAAAACAAACCAAAACCAGAGAAAAGATTAACAGACTGTTGAAGTAACCTAGTCTGATTTCCTGTATAGAAGAGTCCACAGCCCGTAGCCTGTGCCCAAAACTTCACATACAGAACCAAATACACTGTGACTGAATTCCAACATGGTTGAGATCATAAAGTAATTCACTACTAACCTTAAAAGATTCATTACTGCCCCGAGACTTGATTCAGGCTGATATACTGAAAGGATTCTTAGAAAACAGGGTACCTGACCAAATTTCAGCGGGGAATGGGAAACTCAACTTGTTTGCAAAAATCAGTGGTGTTAATAATACTGAATCGGTTGTGTGTTTTGCTAAATTGACCCAGTGTCAGCTGCTCTTTCATTTAAAGAAGAGAACGAGGCAGTGAAATGAAATCTAGTTGATACTGTTACATTATCTGCCCTCAGTTAAGACAAATAGTATCTCCATGAATAAAAGATATTTTGAACAGACTATCACGAGTGCAGGAAATACTCACCATAATACTTCATATCTGTAATCGGTGCCACCACAGCTCCACACTTGAAGAGCCGTTCACTGGATTTCAGGATCATTGATGCAATGTAGCCACCATATCCCTAACAACAGAAATTGTATTGAGATTTTCACTGATTCATTTCCTTCTAGCAAGGATAAAACTAAAGACCATTGCCTGATGGTATCATTTTACAGTGTTTATATCTGCAAGATTTGTCCTTAAAGGAAACGTAAACCTACAGTTAAGAGTGAATAAAGATCTCACTTCAGCTTGTCATAATCTTTAAATTACAGAAGTAATAACGAGTATATTTCAGATTAAACTCCATAATTCTATTGTGGCAGACTAGCCTATAGTTAGTAAAAGATTTTAAATTTTTAGAAAAAAACAAAACAAAACCCAAGAAGTGAGGTTTCTGGTAACACAGACAGGAAGATTTGGACTCAGGTTTTAATATATTTAATGTAGATGTTTGCTAATTACCAAGATGCACTGAGCATTTTGCTTAGGGAGTAAAAGAATGGGGGAAACCTCTGAACGGATTGCTGTACACCCTCCCCTTGACACCTGAACCTTCACAGATTGAATCCTGTTGCTAATAAAGAGGTTTCAGCTACAGCATTGTCAAACATCCCACAGAGAGGTACAGATAATGCACTCTTTTGCAGAAATAAAAGCTGTACGTAGCCACATTGCTCGCCGTTATTTCTGAGCAGAAGAGCATCCATCATGCCACTTTGTTACGGAGGAAGGAGCCCATATGGCATGAAGATGCTGGAAAAGATGGGACAGAAGCTGAGGATGTCTGTCTCTGCCTCACCACATTTATCTGCCCTTATGGCACGTCTCTCTGTCATCTCCACTGCAAAGTCTATAATACACTTCCCTGGGAAGGGCTGACACAAAAAGAGAGTCATGAAAGTTTTGCTTTGCATGAAAACGTGAATGCTTCAACTTGAGAGGACAGATTTCCTTGTAATGACACCAGCAATCCATATCTGTACACCTATAATCAATCTAGACCTAGAAAAAAAAATGAAATTCTGAATTGTGGAGGCTAGGATTAATGATTTTCTCATATATTATGGGCTCTTCAGATTTCTCTATTTGCCACCTTTGGTTTCCCTTCATCAGTGCTGGAAAATTGATTTTTACAGGTAATTTTTTGTTTGTTGTTCTGCATTTGGCTCAACACACTTCAGGAAACTGAAATTACCCCCTGACAGGGAGAAGGAAAATGTAAAACAGCAACCAACCCCAAAATAGAATATTGTGTGTCAAATGCTCACAGAGTTTTCTCATAGACTTTTTTTGAATCGTGCCTGCTCCCATTCTTCATGTCTAAATATTTAATGAATATAGGATTTCTGTGGAAGAATGGGAATGTTTGACAAATCTTTAATTTAGTTAAGAAAAATAAGCAAAGAGGAGTATTCTTTGGAATCAGCCTATAGTAAATGCAAACGGACATACTAAAGAAAATACAGAATAAGTACTGGATTTTCAAGGGACCATGAGGAGCTGAGTTATCCCTTTCTCATAGAAAGTCCTGCCCAGGAGACCAAAATCTGCCCATAATTGTCCATGTGCAGAAGTAGAATTCACTTAGGAAAAAAATTCTGAGTGGGCACTGGTAACTTGTATAATTCAAATAGTTTAAGAGAGTAGCAACTTTCCTCTGCCTCTGGCTTCTCTACTTTTGCTTTTGGTTAATATTCTGTTTGTGTCTTTCCCAGTAGCTCCACAGCACAACTTTAATCCTGCGATAGCTATTGCCATGTTATTTATTATGTATGCCATGTATTCATTAAGAGCTTGGTTTAGTTCTCCTGGGAATTCTTTCCTTTGTGCTTGTGCCCTAGCTTCCAGCCAGGCTTTCCAGGACAAAACCATTACACAGTGAGATCACATTTTTAGTGGCACTTTACAATGAAGAAAACAGTTCATATGACCTTATGCAAGGATATCTGGTGCCTCACTCATCAGCTGGATTTCTGTAGTTACAACCTAATTGCCGTATTTTGCTGTTTGGCCACCAAGTTGCAACTTATTTTCAAGCTCTCTTTCTACTTCCATGAATATATTGTCTACCCTGTGCCCTTCTGGACAGTCTCGGTACTTTTGAGACTAATTTACATTACTGATTGCAACACAAATTTTATTTCTGTGCAGCTCTAAAACCTCTCAAAGTGCTTGCTGACAGTGTGCATAAGTCCAGCTTTACGAGATCAGCATTAAGCAATTCCAAAGTTATCTTATTCTGAAGCAAAGAACATAATCTATTTCCATCAGTAAGCCTAATTTAATGCATACAAATTAAAAAAAAAAGATTTTTCCTCTCACATCATTGTACATATAAAAATGAAATTACTTTTAAAGAAGATTTTAATTGACTCTAAAATAAGTAGATTGAAGGAAAATACAATTAACCCTAGGAAGCTGTTAACCGGATTTTGTTTTCCATAATTCTACAAATGACTTTAAATTTTATGAATTTTTCATTTGACAGTAGGAAACAAGTCTGTGAAGTTAACTTGGAAAGAGTAAATTTCCCTTAATTCAAAGCAACATTGAAGCTTATCCAATTTCCCAGGTTTTGCTCTTTGCTTTCCCACATTTCTAATTTTAATTCCTCGGTCTTTCATTCAGAAAACAAACACAGGAACATCATCACCAATAATATTTCATAAAGAAAAAATATGTTGGGGATTGCTTTTGGCAGATACATAAACCCACGTTTACACATATGCTCTAACATAACTACCTCATCATGTCACTGTTAGGAACCAACATACTGCTGAATCTCCTACAGAAAACAAGTGGGAACTTTCAAGTGGCAATCAAAAGAATTTCCGGAGTCAGAAACAAGCACATTCAGGGTGCTGCGTGATTTCATTTTTAATTATTGGTGGGAAGAAGATATGGAGAAATGTGGTTACTTCTATGCCTGTGGACTCCAACCATTGGTAAGAGGCACTAAAACCTGGATAGAAATGTGCACCACAATCATCTGGTGGATGGAATCAGCCCTGCTTATACATCCTCAGCTGAAAAATCTCTGGCTGGGCCCTATGAACCAGATCCTGGGTTTGAAGCTACTGAAATCTCTTCAGCTCAACCAGTGTGGCAGGAGCTCAAATCTTTGAGGAAGGTGATGTTCACGCAGAATATTAATGACAGTCATAAATGTTAATCAGTTCTTAAAATGCAGGAGGTTAATACCAACATCCTCATCTCTGATTCCATCAGATGGAGGCAGCAGGTTAGATGCTTTGCCTGAGCTCGTGTAGCAAGTCAGTAGCTGAGTGGGGATGGGACCGAAGGGGTTTCAGAGTGGAACGCAGGCTGCTCTTCCAGCTGATCACTGGGGGCTTGGTCCACATTCTCGATCATGGTTTGTTGTTGCTTTCAGGTCACAGGCACATTCATCTTTAAGAAAGCACTTTTTAAAAAATAAGGTTGCACATGCTGGCTCATAGAAGAAGCAGCAATTATGTGGTGTTTCTAATTGTTGTTTTTTAATAGACATTGGTAAAATGGTATTTAGTTTGTTACTGAAGGTTATGCCCTTGCCTTGTTCTATCTCGTATTAGGGGCAATGCTTCAGTGGCAGACAAGCCAGCTGGCAAAATAGCAAAGGCGAGATTTCTAGATGGTGCAAAAAGGAATTTGTTGACAGTATCATAGGGCGGTTACTCAGCTAAAGTCAAGGGTCAGTAAAACATTCAGATATAAAAGTTGTCTCAGAAGGATGTTGTCAATTTAACTGCAGCCCAAACGTTAAAGCGTGAAGAAGCAAGCTTTCATAAAACCTAAGCCTGTATTAAACATTTGTAAAGAAAGCGGATGTTTTTCAACAAATACTTTCTCCTGCAGATTCTGAAACACAAATATAGGAATAGCATAAAACTGATCTGATTATCTCAAATATTTATTCTGAGAAATATATACAGAACACAACTAAATTATGGGAGGTTTTCCTCCTCTTTTAATAACTGAAATTCTCTTAGGAAAATAAATATATGTCTTTATAAACTGATAACATCTTCATAAAGAAACATGATGATACATCCTGCTATTTTCGCACATTACCTTTCCAAATATACTCAGTCTCTTAGGATCAATGAAGGGCTGTTTCAGTAGCGACCTGAAAGAGAAAAAGTTTGGTTTTTTTAACTTTGGTAAAGTAAAATAGTGAATTATTGAATCTAGGATGTACATAAAATTATTCGTACAGCAAGGAATTGCCACACATGCAGATCAAGTAGAAAAAAAAATTACACCAATAAAATTATTGTACTGGGAAATATGATCTGTTTTCTAATTCTCTATATGGCAAACAGTTGGTGTTGGGCTCATTTTATCAGAAGTTATCAGATAACTTCAGTTATCTGAATTTGAACATTTGTCTAAATTGTCCATTTTCATCTGCTCTTCAGTTAAAGGAGGGAAGAAAGACGTTCTCACACAGCTGTTCTTTCCCACCTATGTTGGAAACCACCCTCAGTCTACGGACAATCAATCTCCAGAAATTCCAGGATTTTCCTCTGACTAGAACTTAAATGACCGGCTTTGACCAGGTGCCTAGTTTTTCCACAGCTAAAGGAAGGTAAGAACAATGCAACTTCTTGAATCGACATCATTACCCAAACAGTTAATTCTCTCATCAAGGCAATGGTGAATTTTATGCAGAAAAGGTAGAATAACTTGAGGGAGAAATCCAACTGCTTTGAGGAGACAAAAGTATCTCCTCTCAGCCAAGGGCACTCTCCTTTTCTCCTCAGGCAGTGCACCCAGAAAGAGGCCAGATGCAATTTAGCCTAAAATATCTTAGTATTTGAGCAAAGAGCTCAGCTCTCAGAGCAGAGCGTAGGGCCTGCTTCTGATGGCCATGTCAGAGATCGTTGCCTCATCATGCAATAGTTGAAGTATCAACCTCTTTCAAAAGAAGGAAAAATAAAATATCTGGCTTAAAATCTGTATTTCCTTGAGAATCCCTAGAAATAAAGTCTATCCAGACCTTTATATTAGCTATTTTCACATGTGCACCTGAGTAAAGAGTGTTGTCGAAGCCATGTTTGATTACTCTGCAGTTATCAATCTGGAAATGACTCTTCTCTGCTGCTTGTGGGTTTGTGTCAGTCTAAGAATGATAAATAAGATTTCACAGGCATTTGTGCAAATTTTGCTCTCATTTACACTGTTTTAACTCCATTTGCTTTGTACAATTACTCCAGAATTCTGTGGAAGAAATGAGAGCAGTATCCTATTGCATAGACGTAAAATACGGTAAAACAAATACAGTTAACCATTATCATGTGCACTGCAAGAAACTTTCCTAAGGAATACAGACAAATACAAACTAGCTCAGATGGCATATTTAGATTGCTCACAGAAGGAGAGCTTTATCAAAGAGAAGCACCAACACAGAAAGCAAACACCTCTTTGAGCTTTTATTTGATGTTTGTAATGAAAATATTATTGTTACAAAATTTGCAACTGCATTGAAAATAAACATTAACAGTATTCACTATGTAAAGAACAAATTCTGGGCAGTCTCAGTTAAAAATACTCATTCATCAAGGTGGAACTAGGGTAAAAAATAAGCAAAGTTTGCACATACGTACTCTACGGCTGCTATTTGGTCCTTCACTTCCACTGATCCTAAGCATCGGTGGACCTCCTGTAGAATCTTGAGGCCTTGAAATCCACTCCCTCTGCCATCAAATCGAGCTACGATGACATTATCAGAGTTGACAAGCACTGAGTCCCAGTCAATGTGAAACTTATCTGTAACCAACTGGCTGCCTGGAGCTTCATCACTGCAAATACCAACACACCAGACACAAACGAAGACTATTGACAATGTGATGCACTTTGCCGTTCTCTGATATTTTATTTAACCTAGATGGCAGAGTTCAGTGGGTTACACAATCCTGTTGAATTGTTGTCACTTCCATCAATACCATCACATTAGCTAGTGCTGGTATCCCTGCAGGAGTAGTAAGGAAAAGAATTTCTCTAACTCTATAACCACCATGTTGCAGTGTGCCAATATGTGAATATACATTACAGAAAGAAACAGAAAACTAAAGCATGTCATGCTGCTTATAGGCTAATAAAGTGAACCCAAAATATAGTCACTAACAGCTAGCTCGGGTCTGAGAAGGCTCATACAGAATTTGTTAAGTCACACTAAACTGACAAAAAGGAAAATTCGTTCAGTACCCCGATTACGATTTGGTAGGATATATAATACTATTAAGAAGGATGTCATTTTAGAAAACAAAAATAATTGCATTGTTGTATCCTTGAATAGATTTTTTGAAACAGGGTACAAAAAAGACTAAAGTACACACTGGAGAAAATTATTATTTTCTCCATGCAAATTCATAGCAAAAAATGGATGCAGGCAGGAGTGATCAGTTTATTTTATGACTTTAAAAAAAGGTGTTTTATAGCAGAAAAGGTGGAGTAGAATGGGAGAATGTAGTTTCTAGAAGAATAATAAGCATTTTCCATTGAAGCCAAATATACTGTTTTCCTTCCAAAGAAAATAAAATGTCACTTTTAAAAGGGAAGCTTGTCATTATTTTCCCCCCAAGATAAACACAGAATAAGAGAGCAGACTACCATGAAGTTGTATAAAACACAAAACACTTCTATGCAGCTGGCATCTGCCAGTTGAATGCAAATTAACGTGTAAAAGTGTCTGTGCTGGCTGTATGGAAATTAGATTGGACAGTGTCTGTGGGAATAACCTGTCTAAGGTGAAAAAAAAGATGAAAACAGAAATTATTATTTTGCTGAAGAGACTTATACAAACCTGGGGGGAGGAAAGAGAGAGAAAAATCTCCTACAATAACTCCTGTCTTATATGTACAATAATTTGCTGATTCAAGACCTGGTTTTGGCTGTGGATAACATAGGCCATCTTCGAGGTAATCAATCTCTTCATTAGCAAGCATATGATGAATACATATATACTTAAATTCAGTCAGACCTACTTAGGTAGTTGCTATATCATGCACTGAAATCAGGATTACTTGGTTACAGACTCACAACATGTTATGCTTGGTTCACCATTTTCTTGTGCACTGAATTCATACAGCTTTCAAAAAAGAAAGGAACAGTATTTTTTTGTTTGCTTAACCAATTCAGTTGTGAATACACTAACTGCTAACAATGCAGAGCAACGAATTTGGAAACAGCGATTGTCCAGTGAGCTCTGCAGAAAACACAATTCAGAAGTATATTATCATTATTATTTACAATAAGAGCAGGAGCAGAATAACTCTTTCAGTTTCTGCTTATTGTACTGAGCACGGTTTGCAGAAGCACTCTACATTGACAGAGATGTTCTTACAGAGCTTTTACCACCTCTTCCAATAGTATCAGCTTCAAACCAGTTACAATTGCTATTTTTTTCTAAAGTTCTTCCAACTGTCCACAATAACATAATGTATAAGGAAAACCCTTTTTTGGTTAGGTGTCTTTCCAACAGTTTAATGCACCCCACACAAATGAAAATATGAGTCAGCCTGCTTCACTCCCAGCCTGCTTCACTCCCACTTAACATAAGAACAAAACAAATAAAATGTTCACATTTGTTTTATACTTATTATATATCTATGTTGTATATATGTGTGTTTATATATATACATACATCAATATATGAATATATGGGAACAGAGGAAGAACTGTTACATTTGTAAGCCTTTCTCTATACAAGAAAGTGCTTAAAACCAAAAGGGTTTTAAACGAAAGGTGATCTCCTCAGATAATTTCCCTATTAAGAAAGGAACAACAGGCAGAATCTCAGCAAGATTCTCTGTGGGTGAGAACCGACAGTGATGTTTTCCCAAGCTCTTTCTCTGGAGGGCACAGGTGGGCTACCTTAAGGCTCAGATTTTAAACACTATACATCTTCCACTCAGTCATGATGGGGTGTTTGACATACTGCTTTTGGAAGCTATTTTCCAGTGGCTAATTTATTTCAAGACTGTCCATATAAGTAGTCTGTGACAGGCATTTAAAGCCATTTCCATTGAGTACATGTCAAAATTCCCATTAGCATCAAAAGGTCTCTTCTTTACTCTTCAGCTGCTACTATAAAATGATACTGATTATCCGAGGTGTGCTTCTGTCCTCCACAGAGAGACAGCATATATTCTATGCACCATTTAGGCACCTCTTTTAACCTTTTAAATTGGGCTTCTGCAAGGTATTAATCTTTTACGCAAGTTTGAACATCACCCTGAGGGCTCTGAAACAAAGCAAGTTTGTTATTACAGTACAATAATGGATGCACGGTCTGATTTGTTAAGTTTGTCCTGGGATTATAGATATCTCAAAGGCCAGTTTTTGTTTTCTGCTCATCACTACTTACAGCCTAATTATAATTAATTACTGTTCAGTCGTCATCTCTTCATAGAATTATTTCTTGACCCCACTAGTAAGCCTAGAAGAAAGTCCATGCCATTTACGCTACGTCCAATAAAAACACAGGTCTTCCCACCCGACCACGGATAGCCATAAGAGAACCATGAACTACCCAAAGCACGACAGCAAAATCAAAGCCAGAACCCAAGGGCTATATGAAGCTACAAGCTCTTCAACATCCCTCAAGGGTTCCCTAAGGAACACCATCTCAAGTCAAACAACAAGAGCCGAATGATTCAAATGAAGACTAAGCCTAATTATTCCTAACTGATTTTGTTTTTTTCCTTATGACAGCACCTGTATTTTCCTTTTTCTGTTTTTGCTCCTGACTTTTAAGGTTCAGAACTGCCTGGTGTGTGTCTTCAACAGTGACTACACTTGGATTATGAGCCCATCGCAGCAGCAGGAGTGCTGACGACTCAGGCATAATGCTGAAGTTCACCACTGAGGTACCATTATAATAGACAGAAGCCATCAATAATAAACCAATATCACTGACCTGAGTGGGTAATTTGTATGCCTCTTGCAAGGCAGTCACATACATCTCAAGAGTGTCTGGAAAAAGGGGCAGCTCGTTGTCGTAAGTTCATATATTGCTGAGAAGCAGAGAATCCGTTCTTTCAGATTCCATAACCAAAAGCTTAAACTAAAGTCTGTTTACGACTTGAGTTACAATCTACAGGGAATAATACAGTGTTGCCAGAGAAGCTGCTGCGGCTGTACTCTGAGCAATACTCCTCTGCCACTCTGCTATCACAGCTACAGAACAATTTGTTCCAGGTTTTGCACCATTTAAAACTAAGTACCAAGATTTTAAATAGGAATTTTAGAAGTTATAGGGCTGACCAAGCAGGCAGGGGAGACAATTTTAAAGGATATACAGCAAATAACTGGTACCATCACTGCTTAATTTCTAGTACAGATACTTCTATTTCTGCACAGTAGTGGATATGTAGCATATGGAAAAAGTAACTTGATAGCAAATCTCAAAGAAAGACTACAACTCAGAGTACAAAAATCTATGCAAAGGAACATCACTGATAAAAGTACTTCTAGTGAAATCGAGTGGGAAAAGAAGATCATTTTGCAAACCAGGTGTAATAGAAAAATCATTTTCAGATTTCATGAGTATCGCTTTCACAAGAATCAGCTTCCAAACACACCCATCACTGCTGGTCAAAAATCAGTGAACCTGAATAGCCTCAAATATTGAGGACAAAAGCATCCCAAATGTTTTCTCGCTGTTCACACATCCTGTTTAGATACAGCAGACCGCAATTAAAAGCAGGTAGTGGGTTTACAACTTCTCTCTGCAGATATGGCCAAACAAATTAAAACACATCACCACAAGTGATTCCACTACAAGGGTAGAATCACAGTGTGGCGGTGTTGGGTCATAGGCTGGACTTGATAATCTCAGAGGTCTTTTCCAGCCTCAACAATTCTGTGATTCTGTGATAAGACAGGACTGAAGTAAATAGCATAGTATAAAAAATAAAAGTGTTATTCTTAAAATATCTGTATGAAAATGTAATTCTGAGGAAAAAGAGATGTAACAGTGTCCTGTGTCATAAGAAAAGGAGGTGAAGTTTTGAATCTCTTCTTGTCTTTTTCTAAGGAAGATTAAACAAACATTTTATTCACATAGTAAGATATGTACTGCTGTCAGGGAACTGGGAGCAGGGGAGACTGAAAGAGAGGACAGGTCCTAGCTCAGTGATTCTGCAAGGCTTTTGTGGGGACAAGACTGAAGAGAAAGGGAGTGAGCAGATCCATCACTGCCCCCAGCACCAGGACCACTACTGCAAATGAAACAGCTGGAGCGAGCCTTCAGACTATCTCTCTTTTAGCCTAAGCTAAATGAATTCTCCCTCTAGGCCTTGAGACATAAAGTTCAAAGAATGGGGAAGAAAATATATAAAAAAAGAAGACACTCCATCAAATCTTTTGATGCAACAGGAACACAACAGAGCAGTGAAGTACCAACACACCGATGAATACAGGCATGAAATGGATAGCTTGCTAAGTAGTTACCAAGTCATTCACACGACTTAGGGATCCCCCCAAAAGCAAACTTTGCAGCTGTTTTACAGAGGAAGAGTTAGCCATACAAAAAGGCCTCCAGGGATTGCAAGTAGCAGAATCCACCATACATTTTTACACTTCACCCTGTAGCCAAGCATTGTTCCCTCACTTGCAACAGTTGCCAGTTAAAATGAGCAATAATCTTTAGAACATATGAAAGGAATTAATTAATTCAGCTATTAATAGGCAAAATGTTACCATACCTCACACCTTGAATATCTCCCAATACTTGCATTATGCCTCTCTCTGTTTCTTCTAGTCTTTTAATGAGTTATTCCTAAAGCTATAAAAAAAT